TGAGACCAATCAAAGATCAAAACATGACCTCTCTGGACAATCGCTCACTTTTTTTGATTTCTAATCATCTTGTTTAATCCCGCCCCTTTTCGCAGCGCCATACAACAAAATGTTGCATGCTCAAACTCTAGTGTGACTGCAGCTTCAGTGTGGGATGAGTTTCAGCAGCTCATCAGAAATTAACCTGTTAAGCTTTTGGGCTATTTTGGGTATTTCTGCCTGAATTTGGCCTTCCGATTTAAAAAGCTTTCCATAACCACATGCAGATGAATAGATACAAAAGTTTGGTATCATTTTAAAAGAAATCCTTTGAAATTTCATAAAATACTGTGTAGGGGATCAACCTATGTTTTAATATTGATCATGGATTAATTAGCTAATTTTATTTAAATCGGATCCTGAAGATTCGAATCATCGATTCGACTCAAATGAGTCAGATTGAATCAGATCAAAAGATTCACACTTTATCTACCATTTGTCCCGCAAATAGAAGACATCGTATCTACCAATCTTGTTTATATTATTTACGTGGCCAGCGATAATAACATAACACAGTATTGAGTTAACTTTTAGCAAGGTAACAAAATCTACAGCTCGAGGCAATGACTTAGAAGCACATAAACAAGAACACAGTTCTTACAAAATGAGTACAAAGATTTATTGAGCTACACTACGATAAATGAAACCAACTACGTAATAAGCAAACAACAAACGCACACACACACACACACACACAGAGGCAGTTCAGAGGATGCAAAATGAGTTGACAACGTCCCAAATTAATTCTAATATCTCTTACAAGATCTTAGAATAACACCTGAGAAACCACCAAAGCAGAGATTTATCTTATCTTTAACTCCTTACGATCAATCTGCACAAGATGAGCAAGAGACAACATTAGTGTGTGTTACTTGCGCCCTTATTGCTGAAGTCGAATCTCCCTCGCTGGCTGGCCTTGGGGAAACACAGTGCTCCTGATTGGGTGGTTACTCGCTTAGTTGACGTCTTTGGGATTCACACGCTCGTGAATGGCTGTTGTCCTTGGTTACAGAGGTGACGGATTTCTGAGAGTCGGTAAGCTGAAGTTCGTGCAGTTTCGGCGGTCCCAAAACATGGAAGTTGGTGACCCAATCACGTGGCGGCGTGGTGTCCGGGCAGGTGAGAGGGGACAGAGAGCAAAAGCATGCGCAAGCCAGCTAATGCAAAAAGCAAAGTTTATTTGTTGCAGGGCGTTTTTAAGTGACCTGGGGCCTCATGTATCAACGCTGCGTACGCACAAAAGCTTTGCGTACGCCAGGTTTCATGCTCAGAATGGCTCACGTTTGGATTTACTAACAATGAACTGAACGTGGGAATGTGCGCAGCTTCACGGCAGCTTTATGGCTGGCGTACGCACATTTTTGTGCGTGTCTGTTTTATTTCCATTGGCGACTCCTAGAGGCAGTTGTGTTAAATTCTTCTCTACAAAGTGTCTGAGCCTTGCAATGGCAGCTGTATGAGACAGGTTCATCTAGTAGGTATGTAAGGTTTCCATACCATACAGTTGACCAGCTAAACATTAAAGCACAATTTGCAGCAGTCGCCTGTTTTCTCAATGTAATCTGAGCGATCTACCGCACGCACATTGCTATAAAGACACTATCTGAAGATAAATTTGCATGCGTGAATCAGAAACATTTCCATTCAATAAATGTGCAAATAAAATATGATGCACAAACTTATTGATGATTCCTACTAGTCTTTCTCGTGATAAACAGTGGGGAAAATCTGATATGTAGCGGGGAAAAAAAGAAGAAAGAGTTCATCAGACGCTGGATTCAAGCCGAGTTTAAGCTCGAACGTGTCAATACATGATCACATGCGTCTTATGAGGTGTGCCACTGAGACTGCTAAGGGTACTGCAACATTTTACAGATATAAACCACACTATTCCTTTTTTTAATGCACTCAGTGCGATGTTCAAACCCAACTGTGTTAACCGCATCAGCTAAACTCTCCCACTCTATTTTTCTCTTTTGTTGTTAATTCTGGAGAACAAACTTGCAAATAACACCACTTTTCTCCGGTCTACCTCCGAAAGCAGCACCTCCGTTTCACATTCTGTTCAAAGTTTCTCTTTTTGCTTGATTTTGCCATTGCTTTTTCGTTGAGTTTTGCCATTAGCATAGTCATTAGCATATTCATACGTGGGAGGAGGCAGGGAGGGGTTTTGTGCTCGTGCATGTTGCGCTCAGTTTCACGTTCATTCGGATGTACAAAAGAATATGCGTGAGATTCGCCGTACGCAGTGTTTCATACATCTGAATTTTTTTCTGTGGCGTACGCACATTTACAGCTTTCTGCGTACGCAATGTTTTAGTAAGATTTCCACGCAAGTCTTCGTACATGAGGCCCCTGGTCTAGTTCATCCCCATGGCACTGTCTGCCAATGAGCAGTTGCCATGAAGGGCGGGGCCACACCTAATGATAAAACTATCTTACATCAAACGTTACAAGATGAATACTGTTTGTACTACTAGTTTTTCATTTACACCAACGTATTGCAAATGTCACTAGCTTTCGTTCAATACCAGTCATCATACATTTCAGACACATACAGATTATTTTAATCTGCTATAAGGGTTAAAACAACACATTGATTAACCTGGTTGATTGGAATAAACAGCATATGAGCAACATTATGGCATACTATTCAAAGATACATCTGCCTTAGTTCTAACATTTTAAGAGATTAGCTTTTATCATTCGTATGCATTAATGTTTCTAGAGATCTCTTTGTCTTTATGAAGTTGTGCATCTGGCAGGATGTGCCCAACGCGAGCACATGACCAGGAGTCATTTAAAAGTCTCGTGAAACGGTTTCCGCTGAATGTCCTGTACAGGCCATTGTTTTTAATTTAATTGATTTAATTAATCATTGGCTAGTTAGCTGAAGGGTACCAGAACATCTGCTGAGAGGTACTGGTCAGAGGAGCCTGAAATCAATTGGCGCTCTGTTTTCCTGATGGTATAAGCCCTCAAGCTAGTTCAATGAATGAGAAAATTGGAGATGCCCAAGATTTCAGATTTAACTCGTGTTGACCATTGCAATATTCTGATGAGTTCCTTTATCTCCCCCTTTGACTGGCGATGTTCCCGGTGTGAACATTGGCAGGCACTGGAACAAACAGGCAGAAGCGGAGAGAACAGGCAAACACAAGACACAAACAACATCATCTCTAACTGAATCTTGGTGCAGGTTTTAGGCACTTTGGAATGCTCGGGTTAGCAACGCTCAAGGTGCAGAAGAGCATAGTTTAGTATGATCAGAATTTAGGCTTTTAGGACTATCCAAGGTATTGAAGGTTCAACGAAGTTGTATAGGCATTATCTCAATCAGTAAAGAATTACATTTTTGGTCAGCATTATCCCATCTAAGCATGCGCGAGATGTGGGGCGTGCTTATTTGAACAACTTTTGGATGGCCTTTACTCGCTCGTGGAGGAAGAAGGCAAGTGTCAAAGTCAACGTATACCCTACAATGCTGTTTTGATGAGAGTCAAACCAATAAATTTCATTCTTTACCCTCAATCCATTTTTAGGTTCTGGATTGAAGATAAAGAAATGTGGTTAACAGATCTTTTGAGTTTTCGCCTAAAACGTGTAGTCAGCTTGGTGAAAGGAGTCAATCCTAATTCTGAGCTCTGGACTTAAACATCATCCGTGGGGGTTCCCTGATGAGGCAAGAGAAACGAATTGAAAGACATAGAGAGAGAAAAAGAAAACAACACAGAGACATAAGGACATTGAGTGAAGCTAGCACAACAAACAAGTGTCACATATGTGTAATAGCTCCTCTACTAGAGATTGGTCCTAGTAGTGCAGTGGAGGGGAGAGTGCATGTATTGGGTTTAGGAAACATAGCTAGGGCTAGGTGTCTTCCTAAAATGGCACAAATGACAAAAACAGGTTAGCGTTAAAATAAGAGTTTAGGATAGTGGGTCTGTGTCAGCAGGTTGGTTCCTCCCCCTGTCTGGTCACTTGGAGTTGAGGGACTGGAGTTGGCATGACACAGGTAGGATTTGGATTGATTCTGAGTTCAGCTGCGTGGCAAACGATCAAGACAGCACTCTTAGGAATTGGAAGGGTTTCATCCACAAGTGTTTGTGTGATGCAGTGGTGACCTGAGGCATCAGGTGTTGAGTTAGCGTCTAACTCTGGTGTTCAGGTACAGTCTATTGAGTCTTTGAAGTTATGGGGCTTACAGTTCTCTGTAAGTGAGGTGCAGAAGTGCTGTTTAGCGAGGTTGTTGCTTGTCAGGCAGAATCAGGTTTTCATTTCCTTTCCCACTTCCGATCCTCTTCCCTTTGCTGGAAGAACTCTTTCAGGATCATCTTCATCAGTTCTTGAGGGTCAAAACATGGTGATGTTGTCCCTTGTGGGGATTCAGTTGGAGCTTGATCAGCGTGGAATCTTTGTGAGTTCTTTCGTTGACCTCTAGGGCTGGTTGTATCAAGGTGATGTTGCTTTACCTTGGAAGTACCACTTGAATCCCACGAGCTTGTCCCCCTTTGGTTTACAAATGAGGTAGACCTGTTCCACGATCTCTCCCGGTGACGTTCAGGTGAGTGTTGTCGTCCAGACAGTCCTTTCCAGCGACGTTTCCACTGTTTGGGTCTGGTATCAGCATGACAGTCTCGTTGTCTGTTGTAAGACGACACATTCCACTCACTGGGAGGTAGTCTAGCATTGTCTGGGCCTTGGGCACCCTCAAGGGCCAGATCTTGACTTTTAGTGTTGAAGTCATAAACAGCAGGGATTTTGGCACTCTTCTCTGAAGCCGTTTTTTGTTTGACGTAGGCTTTATGTGCCAAATCTCGTAATTGCTGAGTGTTCATCGTGTGGTGGCATGCAAGAACCCCAAGATGGTGGCTTACGCCAGGATGGAGGTTTCTCAGGAAGAGGATTTTGAAGTTCAGGTCCTCTTTCATCTCAGGTTCATTGCGGGTGCCGAAGTAGGTTCATCTGAGTCTGCTGTAGTAGGCTTGAGAAGACTCATGGCGACCTTGCTTTGTCTCCAGGGCAGCTACAAGTCCTTGTTCAGACTCGATGTCAACAAACTCTCTGATGAGGGCTTCTCGGAGCAGGAGGTAGTCAGTCTTTGTGTGAGCTGGCTGACGGTCCAGGAATCTGCACACTTCAGGGCTGGAGGTTGCTCTGAGCAAATACAGTCTATCTTTGTTAGTGACATTGGGTCTCATTTCCAGGTGAAAGTCAATGTCTTGCAGATAGGCGTGAACATCTTGGCTACCTAGCAAATTCGGCTTGAACTTGCCCAGGTTCTTGACTAGCTTGTCAAGGTCTCTGAGGTTCAGGCCACATGGTGATATGTGGCTGTCTGGAACAGAAGGAGATGGTGAGGGTTTTGGCAGTGACCCCTCAGCTTTCTCATTGTGTGTCAGTTCATATGCATGCTTGGGTTCATCTTTAATGCTGTTGGACTCTTCTTTGATGTAGTCCTGCTGCTGCGTTAGTCGTCTGACCTCATGTCTAGCTTCACTCAGGTGAGTTTCGAGGGCTTTGATTCTGCTGTCCTTGTCTTTAGAGTCAGCATTTACCTCTTCCAGTAGCTGTTCGACATACTCAAGCTTGTTAGCAACGTCAGCATGGTCGGCTTTGGCTTGCTCCATTTCTTGGGTGGTGGCGGCAAGAGTCTCTTGAAGTTTATCGATCTCCTCTTTGGCAGTTTGATCAGTCTCATCTGGCTGTTCCCGTCGTTCCTGAGCCTCCAGTTCTAGCTGGTTGATGCGGGTCTGCACATGTGTCAGCTTGTGCTGGAGCTGGGCGGAATGCCTGTCACTCAGCTTGAGGGTGGCGATAAGGACGTGACTCAAAGTACCTGTGATCTTGGCTAGGTCTTTGTGATTGTAGCTTTTGCTCGGGTCTTGCTTCATAAGGCTGCTCAGGTTCTCATCCAGCTGGTCCTGTGTCAGATGCTTTAGCTTTTCGGCGGCTTTAGGGAGGAGGCTGTCCGTTGCAACACTTAGCCATGCTTCTAGGTCCTTCCAGTGGCCAACAGGGTCTTTAGGGCGAGCCATGTTTGCGGCTGTGAGGGGGAAGACCTATAACCGACACTGACACAGACCTAGAGGGGAGAGAGAGAGAAAAGGACAAAAGAAAACAAAAACAAATGGCAAACAAAAAGTGTCAGGGTGTAATGTCAGGTGTGAGCTACTGTTGAGTGTGGAATGAACAAGTGGGTGTTGTTCTCTGTGACTGTGATCCTCTAGGGGGCGTGCATCTAACTTGTAGTCTCTGTGGGGACAGTCAGTAAACACACACAGTTAGGACAGCTAGAGAAGAGAGAAAGAAAAGAAGACTGATAAGGAGAAGAGTGATAATTGGCTGCTTCCAGGTTCCTAGTGAGAACGATTCCTTTAGCTGTCAAGCATGTGAAAGGATGCTTCTCGGCCGGAAGTTGGAAATGGGGAGCTCTAAACACCAGGACTGTGATTGTTATTAAATTTCCTCCGCTGTGAAAGAAAGTACAATAATAATGACAGTATTGATTTCTTACTCATTAGGATTGACACCATACACCAAGTAGACCACTTTTGATGCAGATCTAAAATCAAATTTGAAAACACCTGTCTTCTCGTTTCATCCTTAATCAGGTAGCGTCCTATGGCGAGAAAGGGTAGAGAGTCAGATCACTTTAACTTAAAATGTTTAAGTTTTACAGCATCTGTTAAATGTTTCTAACATTCTCTGCTTTTATGATTCACACCGGTACAATCTCAAAAGGGCAGCGGTAGTCAACTCGGAAGAAGACAGTTAAAAGAAACAATAGAAAGTGAATAGAGAGGGTTTTTTTCTATTGCAGGGGACATTGTAAATACCCAGAGATACCAGCTTTTACCAGATTATATTTATATGATAATTTTCCTTTAAACCCATCTCTAAGTGAGTGAGTGATTAAATGTTGAATGTGATGAGTTTTCAACAATACTAAATTGAAACCTTTTTTTACATGGTTTAATATTTTTTTGTCATTAAAATTGAAGTTCCTGTTTCAAAGCTTACAGATAGATGGCTAATTTGTATGTCATTGACACTTTTGGCACTTTTTTGGAGTATTTTCATAAGTTTTGTTTTTTCCTGTAAATGATTCAATAAATACCGTATTGTGACATTCATACCGAGGTATTACCGTACCGTGAAATTCTGATACCGTTACATCCCTATTAATTAAGCATTAAGCATTAATTTGATTGAGCAATTAAAAGCATTATGTTATAGTATAATTAATTGCTAATAAACCAACAACTTATGAGCATTTGAATTTATAAAACAGGCCAGGTTCAGCAGGAAAAGCATTTGACAAATGTGATTAAGCCAGCGATGAGATCGCGTACACTAGGGTTTACTAAATCTGCATTAGTCAAAGCCTTTTCCAAGAAAGGGAGAAAAATGAGAAATAAGGCATATAGCCTATAAAGAGTGAGAATCGAGATTCAAATTCTTGCTAGCATGAGGTTGTCACTTCAATTTAACACACTGCATTCAAAACCACAAGGAGAGCGCTACTACACTAACCTTTAATTCTAAATAGCATAGCCATACCACACACTTCAATGCAACAACGTGAACTTCAGTTAGCTTAGCCTTGTGCTAATGTCTACAGCCGATGCAAGTGCGGAGGACTGCGCCTGCACACTTGAGAATACTCTGAAAAGTCTCCTAGGACTTTCGGGAGGCTGTTACTATGACGACGTACACAGAATGAACCAATATGCGGTTATGCACACAGCTTACATGCAACACGTGAAATGGCGGCGCATTTCACACTGCTCAACAGAATATAGCACTTATTAAGATTTCGGCGGATCCTAGCGCTCTGTCTCAAGACTATTCACAGTCAAAGACACACGTGGATTCAATCACGCACACTTTACTTGATCAAGATCAGTTCTCCCGTAAGAATACGCTCTGCCGCTCTCTCGAGCCCAGTGCTCTGAGTTCACTAACTCTGATGCTAGTGAATTAAATGGCAAAAGACAGTTAGCTACTCTGTGCTTAGTTTGACCAGGGAGAAATGCACAGTTAGTCTTTAAAGCTGGGACACGCACCTTTAAATCATCTGTGGAGGCCTTATAAGAGAAAGAATAAGGAACACGCTTATTGTTTCTCAATCCGTGCGCTTTACAGCGACTTATAGCTTTTGTCTCGTGGACAAATAACTATTTACTGCAGTTCGCTTTCTCAAAAGCACTCGAGTTGCGCATTCATGCGTTTAAACACACTGGGTACCACAATAAATCATACAGTAACACAACAACTTTGTTTCTCTGTCTCTGATCTATTCTTCCGGACAAAATAGAAAAGATAAACAATGTTTTTGTGCTTAAAAGTCAGATCATGCTGTGCCTAAATATTCTCCACCATTAATATGTAGGGGATCAACCTACGTTTTAATATCGATCAGGGATTAATTAGCTCATTTCAATGAATCGGATCCTGAAGATTCGAATCATTGATTTGACTCAAATGAGTCAGATTGAATCAGATCAAAAGATTCACACTTTATCTACCATTTGTCCCACAAATAGAAGACATCGTATCTTACCAATCTTATTTATATTATTTACGTGGCCAACGATCATAACATAACACAGTATTGGGTTAACTTTTAGCAAGGTAACAAGATCTACAGCTCGAGGCAATGACTTAGAAGCACATAAACAAGAACACAGTTCTTACAAAATGAGTACAAAGATTTATTGAGCTACACTACGATAAATGAAACTAACTACGTAATAAGCAAACAACAAACAAACACACACATTCACACATACACACAAAGGCAGTTCAGAGGATGCAAAATGAGTTGACAACATCCCAAATTAATTCTAATTCTTCTTGCAAGATCTTAGAATAACACCTGAGAAACCATAAAAGCAGAGATATGGCTTATCTTTAACTGCTTAAGATCAATCTGCACAAGATCAGCAAGAGACAACATTAGTTTGTTACTTGCGCCCTTTTTGCTGAAGTCGAATCTCCCTCGCCGGCTGGCCTTGAGGAAACACTGTGCTCCTGATTGGGTAGTTTCTCGCTTCGATGACGTCTATGGAATTCACACGCTCGTGAATGGCTGTTGTCCTGGGTTACCTAGGTGACGGACTGCTGAGAGTCGGTTTTGCGGAAGTTTGTGCAGTTTCGTGAGTCCCGAAACTTAAGAGGTTTGCGTGGAAGTTCGTGGTGACCCAATCGCGTGGCGGCGCGGTGTCCGGGCAGGCGAAAGGGGGCAGAGAGCAAAAGCATGCGCAAGCTAGCTGATGCAAAAAGCAAAGTTTCTTTGTTGCAGGGCGTTTTTAAGTGACCTGGTCTGGTTCGTCCCCATGGCACTGTCTGCCAATGAGCAGTTGCCATGAAGGGCAGGGCCACGCCACGTACTGACGTAGGAAAGGTCATTAATTAACAGACTGCATGTAGATTTCACATGGTAGAACTCTTGCAAGATTGAAACTATCTTACATCAAACGTTACAAGATGAATACTGTTTGTACTACTAGTTTTTCATTTACACCAACATATTGCAAATGTCACTAGCTTTCGTTCAATACCAGACATCACACATTTCAGACAAATACAGATCATTTTTACTCTGTTATAATGGTTAAAACAACACATTGATTAACCTGGTTGATTGGAATATACAGCATATGAGGAACATTATGGCATATTATTCACAGATACATCAGCCTTAGTTCTAACATTTTAAGAGATTGTCTTTTATTCATATACATTAATGATTCTAGAGATCTTTGTCTCTACGAAATTGTGCATCTAGCAGGATGTGCCCAAGGCGAGCACATGACCAGGAGTCATTTAAAAGTCTCGTGAAACGGTTTCCGCTGAAGATCCTGTAAGAGCCATTGTTTTTAATTTAACTGATTTAATTAATCATTGGCTAGTTAGCTGAAGGGTACCAGAACATCTGCGGAGAAGTACTGGTCAGGGGAGCCCGAAATCAATTGGCGCTCTGTTATCCTGATGGTATAAGCCCGCAAGCTAGTTCAATGAATGAGACCATTGTAGATGCCCAAGATTTCACATTCAACTTGTGTTGACCACTGCAATATGCCGACGAGTTCCTACAACGGTGATGGGCCCATTCTCAAAGATCCCCTGATCATCACTCCCATTCAGTGGGACATTGAGCATGAAATTCTACAAGCCTCTGAACACAGTTCCACGCCACAGTCCTGTCCTGAAAATAAGATCTTTGTTCCCCCGGCACTCCGTGAAAGACTCATCGCCGAGGTACATGACCACCCCAGCTCCGGTCATCCAGGCAGCACTGCCACAGCACAATTAATCCAATCCCGATACTGGTGGTCATCTATAAATAAGGACATCATCAATTTCATTAATAAATGCTCACCCTATCAGATGTCCAAACACTCCCGTCACCGTCCAGCTGGACTGCTCCAACCCCTGGAGGTGCCACTTTGTCCCTGGTCACACATTGCCATAGATTTCGTCACCGACTTACCTCTATCGCAAGGAAACACCACCATCCTCACTGTAGTGGACCGATTTTCTAAATCCTGTCGCCTTATTCCCATAGCCAAACTGCCTACAGCCATGGAAACGGCCGAACTGCTCTGCGAATTTGTGTTCCGATATTATGGTCTCCCTGAAGACATCGTATCGGATCGAGGGTCCCAGTTTACCTCCCGACTCTGGTCCGCCTTCTTTAAGAATCTCCAGGTGAACATTAGCCTAACATCCGGCTACCATCCCCAATCCAACGACCAAACAGAGCGTCTGAATCAGGAGATCGGCAGATTCCTCCGCACATACTGTCATTCCAATCAGGCTGAATGGGCTAAATTCCTCATGTGGGCAGAATACGCTCAAAACTCCTTGAGAAAGGCATCAACAGGTTTGACTCCATTTCAGTGCGTCCTAGGCTTCCAACCTCCTCTCTTCCCCTGGTCCGGCGAGACCACTGAACTTCCCGCTGTAGATACTTGGTTCAAAAGTTGCGAGGAAGTATGGAACGCAGCTCACACCCATCTCTCTCACGCCGTACGGCGTTTCAAGGAACAAGCCGACCGACACCGACGTCCTGGTCCCACGTATTCCCCAGGACAGTGGGTATGGCTCTCCACCCGTGACTTACGCCTCAGACTACCCTGCAAGAAGCTCAGCCCCAGGTACGTGGGTCCTTTCCAAATAAACAAACAAATATCTCCTGTTTCGTTCCGACTGACACTCCCTGATCAATACCGTATTTCTCCCACTTTCCATGTCTCTCTGCTCAAGCCTGCTGTTGGTCCAGCCGAGGCGGATAGGGAGGTGGCAGCCGGTGAACAGGGTCCCCCGCCTCTCATGATCGATGGAGAGGAGGCCTACCAGATCCACGAAATCCTGAGATCCAGACGCCGGGGTGGACAACTCCAATACCTCATCGATTGGGAGGGGTACGGCCCGGAGGAAAGATCATGGATCAACCGTAAGGACATTCTTGACTCAACACTACTGGAAGAGTTCCACTTACAACATCCGGATATGCCGGCCCCTCGCCCCCGTGGAAGACCCCGGCGTCGAGACTCGCCTCACTTCAGGAGCCGTTCGTTGGGGGGGGGGGGGGCTCTGTCACCGACTCGGTCCCAGTCATTCCCCTCGCTGGCCAGCAGAGGCCACCATCTCCGGACTTCTAACATTACGTCATCCTTTCCCTCTGATTCCAGCACACCTGATCTCCATTCCGCTAATGACCCACGTACCCTTTAAAAGCAGCTCACACTCTCTCATCTGTGCGAAGTCTTGTTTAGC